TCCTTTCTCCTACTTTCACAGTTTCATCACCTTTGTCCATCGTCGTCTCTCTCTAACTACCCCTCTCCTTTCCTGTCCGTCCTCCTTTCTCTCTCCTCCTCGTTCCTCCCTCCCCTCTCCCCGTTTCTTTCTCCTCCTCCTCCTTTCTCCTTTGTCCTCGATCGTCCCTCCTCCTCCACGTTTCACCTTCCTCCTCCTTCTTTTTCTCTCCTCATTTCTTTGTCCACCCACCCCTCTCCTCACCGGCTCCTCCTGCTCCACCTTCGTCACCCCTCTCCTCCTTTCCTCCCTCGCCTCCTCCTCTCTCCCTCGCCTTCTTTTTCCCGACCCTGTTAAAGCACGACCATCAGGACTTGCCACGTGCCCTCCTCTCCTCGAAGTCTAAAGTGTCGAAGACCAACGAGAACCAATAGCATTGATGACCGCTGATAGTATTGCCACGTCGGCCTTTTATTTTTTTGCTTTCAATTTTGAAATATCAATCAATCAATCAATCAATCAATCAATCAATCAATCAATCAATCAATCAATCAATATGGACGGAACGACGAGCGATTATTGTTTGTTTGATTGATTGATTGATTGATTGATTGATTGATTGATTGATTGATTGATTGATTGATTGACGGTGGAAACGAATAGCACATATGAAAGTCCAATGACATAGCAGAAACAAAACTGCAAGGAAACCTACAATCGTTGAAGTTTATCCATCGCCTCCTTCTCGTCCTCCTTCGTCCCTCCTCCCCGTTTCCTCCTCCTCCTCGTGTCTCCATCCTCCTCATTTCTCTCTACTCGTTATGTCCTCCTATCTCCACTGGCTCCTCCTGCTCCACCTTCGTCACCCCTCTCCTCCTTTCCTCCCTCCCCTCCTCCTCTCTCCCTCGCCTTTTTTTTTTTCCCGACTTAGGGCTTGCCACGTGCCCTCCTCTCTATGTCATGTTTCCTCATCCGCGTCGTTCGGCCCTCCCTCCTCCTTTCACCTTCGTCCTCCTTTCAATCTCCTCCTTTATCTCTCCACAAACCCCTGTCTTGTTCGTCCTCCTCGTTTCTCTATCCCCATACTCGTTCTCCTTTCTCTATCGCCTTCTCTTCCTCCTACTTTCTCCCCCGTCATCGTCCTTTCTTCTTCATCCTCCTCCTATCTTCCTCGTCAGCTCTCTCCATCCACCTCTCTCCCTTCGTCTTCCTCCTCGTTTCTCCATCCTTGTCTTTCAACCGTCCTCCTTCCTTCTTAAAGTTTCTCCCTCCTCGTCTCTCCCTCCCCCTCCTCCTTTCTCCCTCGTCGTCTTTCTGCCCATGTACCCCTCTACCATCTTGTTTGTCCTCGTTTCTCCCTCCTGTTCAGCAAACAGTCATCCATCCTCCTTTCTTGTTTCTCCCTCTTCATTTTCCCTCCCCCTCGTCGTTTCTCCCTCCTCCTCTTCGTTCAACCCTCGTTCAACCTTCGTTCTCTCCTCCTACTCCTCGAAGTCTAAAGTGTCGAAGACAAATGAGAACCAATCGCATTGATGACCGTTGATAGTACTGCCACGTCGGCCTTTTATTTTTTTTGCTTTCAATTTTGAAATATCAATCGATCAATCAATCAATCAATCAATCAATCAATCAATCAATCAATCAATCATCGCTCGTCGATCCGTCCATATGGATGGACCTTTTCGTCCAAGATCCGTCGTTGAACGAGGGATCCTGGACGAAAAGGTCCGTCCATATGGACGAAAAGACGAGCGGTTATTGTTTGATTGATTGATTGATTGATTGATTGATTGATTGATTGACTGATTGATTGATTGATTGATTGATTGATTGACGGTGGAAAGTCCAACGACATAGCAGAAACGAAACTACAAGGAAACCTACGGTATGGAAACCTACAAGGCGACAACGAAGTTTGAAGTTCGAACCGAGTAGCAAAAATGTCAAAAGAACTTAAGAAATTAAAAACAAAAAAACAAAAAAACGGGGCCGACATTTCCAAGGAAGAGGAGGAGGCGATAGATGAGGAGGACAAAGAGGAAGATGGCCAAGAAGACGAGGAGGACGAGGAGGAGGCGATAGACGAGGAGGACAAGGAGGAAGACGGCCAGGAAGACAACGACGAAGACGAATACGAGGAGGGGGAAGACAAGGCGATGGATAAAGAGGAAGACGAGGACGAGGAGGAGATGGGGGTAGACGAAGACGATGAGGAAGACGAGGACGAAGAGGAGGAAAAGGAGGCGATGCAGAAAGACGAATACTACGAGGAGGGAAGAGGAGGCGATGGAAAAATAGGACATCGAGGAGGAGGAAGAGGAGAAATACAAGGAGGACAAGAAGAGGAGGAAGAGGAGGAAGAGGAGGAAGAGGAGGAAGAGAAGGAAGAGTAGGCGATGGGGAAACACGAAGACGAGGACGAGGAGGAGAGGGAAAACGAACAGGTAGTGGATGAGGAGGAGAGGGAAAACGAGCAGGTAGTGGATGAGGAGGAGAGGGAAAACGAGCAGGTAGTGGACGAGGAGGAAGACGAGGAGCTACAAAAGGAGGAAGAGACTATGGTGGAGAAGGATGACGAGGAGGAGGACAAGGACGAAGAGGAAGAGGAGGACATAGAGGAGGAGAGGAAGCTATGGAGGAGGAGCAAAAGGAAGACGGGGATGAAAATGACGATGAAGACGAGGACGAAGAGGAGGGGGAAAGAAGAGGAAAACGAGGAGGAGGACGAGAAGAAAGATGCCATGGAGGAAGACTAGGAGAAGATGAAGGAGGCTATAGAGGAATAGCAGAAGGAGGAGGAGGAGGAGGAGGAGGACAAAGAGGAGGAAGAAGAGGAGGAAGAAGAAGAGGAGGAGGAAGACGAGGAGGAAGACGTGGAGGACGACGAAGGTAGAGGAGGTGGAGGACGAGTCTATGGAGGAGAAGAAGGACGAGGACGAGGAGGAGGAAGAGGACAATCAGGAGGAGGTGATGGAGGACGACGTGGACGATGACGAAGAGGACGGAGATAAGGAAGGGGGGGAGGAGGAGGAGGAGGAGGAGGAGCTACAAGGAGGT